TGAGGCCAGGAATACCTCTCAAACTGGTGAACCAGGCATCATGCTGGTTTTGTGGGGCCAGGAGACCACCCTTTCATGTATTTACTTAGCTGAAGTTGGGCCAGTGTGGTTCACCGTGACACACAGCGAGCGTGGGGAGCCAGCTACCTGTCCCACCTGGCCTTGTGCTGAATGCCTGCCTTGGGCTTCAGAAGATCTCACTGGCATGTGTGAGTTCCAGTTATGGAACAGGAAGAAAATTAGGCACCTTTCCAGTACTGCCATCACCATCACCACCTCACTTGGGCTTCTTTTTCTTTGATTGTTTGTGTTTTGAGGCTCACATCTGACTATTTCCTCTCTGGTTTAATTCTAGGAGAACAGATATGGAAAATATGTTGTCATTTTCTGAAATTTAATTTAGGCAGGCCATATAAATGGGCCATTGCCCAAATCAGGTGTGCAGCAACGTATACGATTAGGGATACTAGAGCTTCATAGCATTCATTAAAACGACTTCCAAATTGCAATACTGATTGTATTTTAGGGATGGTCTTATCCAATCCAGTGATGATAAAACTAAAATTCAGAAAAAAAGGTTTGAGACACAACCAGACTACAGGAGGATTTTGTAGGGGGGTTACTGAGGGGGGGACCAGTTTTAAATTTTCTTTCATTGCTTAAGATACACAGAATCTATATCAAACAAGAAGAAATTTCATAAAAATCTCTGTTTCTGGGTTTTTAAAGTTATTAAGCAAAAGAAGAGGTAGTGTTGGCTTTCATCAATGTCACAAGTTACAAGGTAGCAGAAGCTCATGTACATAACTAGGAAAAGAAACATTTCTCTTTGTTCTTCAAAGACTCAACTAGCACTCTCCTGAAGAACTATAAATTAGGCTGTAAGAGCCTAATTTAAGAGAACAATTATTTTGTATGTTGGGCTGTAACTTAAATTCAAACAAATGCATGACATATGTGGTGTAGGTACACATCTCTGTGTACATGTATGTTGTGTATGTATGTCTCAGCACATCAATGTGTGTATGTGTAAGTACATATTTGTATTTGTAAGTGGCCTTCCATGTGTTCATGGGTGTTGGTACATAAACACAGAGGTCTGCGCATGTCTAGGCGCATATTCCACCTACTTGTCTTTGTTCTCAGGCCCTAAGCACAACAAGCAAGTGCATGGCTCACACTGGAGAAAGCCCTGGGCTGATCTGTACCCCAGAGGTGCCCCACCGCAGTTGTTTCTTGAGCACATTGTATTTTCCTTCTTAAATCTCAGTATGTACCCTTATCTATGGAATGGCATGTGCGATACCAAGTAACGAAAAGGTCAGGCAGTGTGTTTTTAGCTAGTACTTACTAATTCAGTTACGTTAACTCCATTGACACAAATTTAGTTGTATTTTATTATAGAATCTTCAATACATATGATTTGCCTTGTAAATAACCTACTTAGACATACAAACACATAATCGATCCTTGTGAAATATGTACTGTTTTAATTATTATGGTAACCCCAACAGCAACAAATATTTATTTCTACTCTACGTAGGAGGAAAGAGATTTCTGAGGCCAAGTAATTAGTGCAGGAGCTTTTGGAGTTTTGGACCTGCCTACAGCTCCGAGAGCTTTTGGAGCGCTAGGACACAAGCCCCACTTGTCTGCGAGCTAGCCTTACCCTCATGCACTTTCCACCCTCACCTCTGCCCAAGGCAACAACGTGGTGGCCGTGGAACTGGCCCTGGAATCTTGGTTTTCTTCACCTGGGTACTATTTTCCCTTTTCTCTAACACCACTCTTGTGCCTCATATCCCAGCTAGCACATCCTTTCTTAAGGACAGTTCACCTGTTCTTCCCTAGGGTAGATTCTAAGAACAGGAAAGAATTGAGGAAAACTCAAATGAGATAGGTAGAGAGAGCTGGCTTATTAAGAGATGCATGTGCTGGTGGAACCTAAAGGCAACTGGTGGCACCAGGCTTGCCGTGCAAGTCTTTGAGGGCCATGTAACAGCCACACACCACTGCCCCTGCTAGTCAACTTAGGAAGCCTCAGAAAGAAACTCTGGGAGACGACTGTCTAATCCTTTCCTTATCTCCAAAGTCTCCTGAGCTCTTTAACTCCAATAGCTATAAAACTTGTTTCAGAGAAACACTATGGCTTTGAGAGGTCCAGGTACTGAGCTCTGGAATTCAAAAAAAGCAAGGGGTAAAATCACTAGGGGGTTACCTTGAAATTAGTTTGAATACAGTTAATAAGAAAGAAAAGCAAGATTTTATTTACAAAACTATTAGTTTTGTTTAGCAAGATATATAGACTCAATTTTGCTCAGAATATTGCTTAGAAAAAACTCTCAGTAGAGCCCTTCAAAGACAATTTAGTATTTTTAATAAGGCAAATCTTTGGGATTCTCAACTATTTAGTTATAAAATCTTAAAATCTAATAAAAGTCTGTGTTCAATAGATGCCACTTTACAAATTTTATTGTATGTTTAACAACCTAGGAATATTAACATTCTTAAGACAATTAAATTTAATCATAATCACAAGCATTGGGCTTTAAAAAAAACTGTCTTTTATGTAGCTTAGTGTAATTTAGTTGCTAGAAGCTATGTGTTTGTTTTTCAGATACTTTGTGTCTTAAAATTGTGAACAAGGTCAGTTTACCCAACAGCTTACAAATTTCTGAACACTGGGTCTTATAACTACATAGTCATTTAGAAACATAAAACACAATATATTGTATAATAAATAGGCATATTCGATAGGTTTACATTTCATTCATTAATGGTGCTTTGAAAGACTGGGCAAGAGTGAGACTCACTATTGAATGGTGACACTATAGCACCAGGAAGGATGCCAAGGGCAGTGGTGGGCCCAACTGTCCTAGTGCTTGCAAACCACAGTCCATCTTTCAGGGAAGTATGAAGATCTTTATCACTGTTTCTCTATACAGCTATTCTTTTTTTTTACATTTAAAGATATTTGTTTATTTGGTACATGATTTCACTACATAGTTCAGACTCATAGCAATTCTCTTGTCTCAGCCTGCCCAGTGCTGGGAATATAAGCATGCACCACCTCACCCAGTTTCAGTGGCCAGCATGGCATGTGGTACTGGGGATCAAACCCGGATCCTTATACTTGCCAGGTAGACACTTAGACCACTGATCTAGCTCCACAGCTTCATACAGCTATTCTAATCAGACTCAGATGTATGACTTTGGCTTTCTTGGTGGTATAATCTCACTCAGAGTTTAAAGCCGCCCTTGTCTACTTCCACAGTATGGCCAGGAAGTGTCTGGCATGGTCCTGGGAGTTACAAAATGTGTGAATGAACCTACTCTACAAGACCACTTCACTATTAGAAAAGCAAATTATGTGTGCCTTTTAAAAGTTGTGTACTGTTGGCATCATGTTAACCACCTAAATTAAAATGGAAGCCCACATACACACTTCCTGTCTCTGGCAATTTTCTGCAAAGCAAGTTTATGATGTACTTCAAATTACTTGCCTTATTTTTGGTCTTGTCTTTTAGAATGCAAGCCCCACTTATCATCTGTTTCTTTGGCTGTCATATTACTCACATCAAGCTGAATTATAGACACACACAAAGACCAATAAATGATGACCCCTGGCACTGGCCATTCTACATGCCTATGTATGTGAAGTCAAAGGAAATCTGAACACTGCCAAGATTCCTGCATTACAAAACTTATGTTTCCTTTAATTCTCCAACTATAATATGGCAAGTGCATAAAACAACATAGACATTTTTAATAATTTTTACTACTGGCTTATCAGTAGTTTTGTCTGTTTAATTCTTTGTGTGAAGAGAGAGGAGAGTCCACACCTAAGGTATTAATCTTAGATTTATGGAGAAATGTCAGTTGTAAAGAAGGAGTTTCCACCTCCTCCTCTTGAGCTTAAGCGTAAATTACAAACCCACTCTCATAAGCGGTTATCTATCACTAGATGGTTGTAAATTCCCAGGATATACCCAACTGCAAAAAACCACAGATTGATTATAAACAGTACTAATAATAAACATGCACACAAGTTTGTATCACCCTCTGTTCTCATAGCACTGGAGAGATCTGGCAAATGATTCTGCAGCAGGTTGGAAAGAGGAGGTTGTGCTGGAAGTCAAGGCCCAGTGGCTCTTTCCACATTTCACAGCTTGGTAATCACTATTTAGAAAACACTAGCTATGTGTATGAGATTCCATAGTGGAATATAAGCCTGTGGGGATCTTGAAAGAGGAAAAAAAAAACCCAACAGTGTGGATGGAGTGAAAGAACTGGAAAATGGGAACAATTCCAGGGTGGTGGTGTTTTCTGGAATTTCAAGAGGGCCTCCCTCTGACTTCATCTAACACTCTAAGAGTGGACTAGATTTGACAGTGCATGACACTTCTGTCTGTATGTAATTTTCTCAAGTCTCTGATTCTTTTGGTTTGAGAAACACTTCACTTTGCAGGATTTTCCTAAGTAAAAGTCTGCACATAGCTTGCACAGGATGAAGCAGGGTGTGCTTCTATTTGTACTTCGCACATGAGTGCAAATGTGTTTTTGTTAAACGCTGTTGAAGAGAGTGTAAAATGATACAGATGGCAGTGGTAAAAGTCCTAATATTTTCCTCTTCCTCCTAGTATTTTACTCATTTCTTTCTGAGCTTTCCTTAGCCACTTTATGCTACTTTCAGAGAATCTTCCAGACGAAGCCCCATAACTGGCTATCATGAACAGAAGACACAAAAGATTTTAAATTCATCTTATCTATTTTCAGAGAGAATCATGTCGTACGGATGGAGAAGACTGGCATGTTTGAAGACATTGGCTTCATTTAGCCAGTCTAATTTAGGCCGCAAAATGTGCATACATACATTTCTCTTAATTTCACCCTCCTTGGTGCTTTGCTTGGTGCTAGACCAAGTGCAGAATGAGAAAACCCAGGGACAGAATAAGAAAGTAGGGCATCTTAACCTACAGTGTTTAGAGAAAGGCACTCACCTGCGCTGACAGTGATAGCCTCAATGAACTGTTCTCTCCAGCTGTTGGTGCCCACCACGAGGGCCAGGTTTGTCTTTTTAATGAGTTTGTCCACTGTACTCTAAAAAAATGGGAAAGAATAACAATAATTGCTAAACTTGTTAAGGCCTGGGGAAAAATCTAAGAACTTGTTAATTTGGAAATCTGAGTTACGTAAAGTCTAGCAGATGTTGGGCTCAGAACAATAGTATTGACACCAAACATTATTACAATTATGCAAACAAGCACAGTTTTTAGTGGAAATACTCTGAGATGGAAACTTCTTTGCTACAGTACAAGCATTCTTTACTGACTAATGGCCAGTGAAGAATGGCCTCAGTGTTTAGAACAGCAGCTGTTGAAAGGTTCATCCACTCCCCTCGAATGCTCCATAAACTTGTTTCTCTATTGGCCTCCTCTCTGTTGCGCTGTCTGCAACTGAATTAACACAGGCCCTGTCAACAACCAGAAGTGACCAACAGGTTTTGAAACTATTCTTCAGCCAGTTAGCAGAGTATTAATAATCATCTATAGTTTTGTCAGCTTCATGATGGCTATTAGAGATCTCTACTCTCATCCCATTCCTGTTGCAAATAAAAAGAAAAACAGCATGAAGCAAGATAAATAAAGGTCACTTTTTAAGGTTTAGGATATATTGTTAACAACCTTTCCCTGAATCTCTCTGCTCTACTAGCACTGTACTATATGTCTCTTATTTTTCTTGGGAACTTTTTAAGCACTTCGTTTTGTACAATTAATTCTCTCTGGACTTCTAAATTCAGTTAATGTAATAACAGGACCAGCCAAGCATTCACAAGAAGACTAAGTAAGCAGATGCACTCAAAGCACTACCACAAATCATGGCAACTACAGGGAGAAGGGTCATTTCCAGGACACCGAGGCTGCTCCTCCGAGAGAATCTACTACACGGACTAGTCTACTAAACACGCACACTTACTGTCAGAGCATCTTCGAATTTCCACTAATTGCAAAGAGGCAGAAAACATGTATTATTTGTCTTAGGTCAGAATTGGTAGGTTTCATGAAGTGTACCTGAACTATGATTACAGAGAGAGCATTTTGTCAGCTCACAGGGAAGGAAGATGTGATCTGAAGGGTCTGTGGGAAAAGCTGAAGCCAATTTATAATATCAAGCATGTTAGTTCAGGAAGAATCATCGGAACTGACTTGAGGTACTGAGGGGATCATAAACATGAAAGGCCCATCTTCTACTGGCTCACTCTGCATTTGCGATGTTATTCTTGGCTGGATTGGATGTCCTTTGGGCGGTGACCTCTCAGCTTCCAGCCCTGTGTGTAGAGTTGCTGGGGCCCTGATAACTGCTGTTGGGCACAACAACATGAACCACAAAACAGGCATCTGTCTTTTCTCTCTCAACTCCGTTACCTCTTAGCATGCACTCAGCAGAGCTTGGCTGATGCCAATTCAAAGTGATGTCTGGTGTGTAACAAAAATGACCTTGATTTTTCCTAAATGCAGTGGAAACCTGGAGAGGTTATCTCCAAAGGGGCACTTTATGCTGAGTTCACGGCAGAGGATCTTATCATCTGGGGGATGAGCAGTTGAACAGATAAACATCCCTATCAGTAAGACAAATTTCCTCAAGAAACTTTGGCTAAAGAATACATTTCAAAGTTTTTAAACTACACTTAACATTTACACAGGTGTAAAGCCTATGGTAGAGTTTCAACTTTATTTCATTTTAGTCCTAGAGAATAATACAGCTAAGTCTCTTTCTAAGGCTTAATCTGCTTGCATATATATAT